AGGGTTGTTGGGCTTAAAATCCTGGAAAGCCTCATAATAGAGTGGTTGCTCTTTCAAATTGAGATAAGCTAGTTAAGATGGTTTGGGCACCTTGGCCAGCTCTTGGTAGAACTGTATCAAGCACATCCATCTGGACAGAGCCAGACCCAGGACCTGCTGGAGAGATTATATCTCACAGTTGGATCTGAGGATCTCCCATTAGGAACTGAAATCTGTTACTGAGAATAGAGAAGTCTGGACAGGCCTTCTCAGCCTGTTGCCACCATGACCCCCAGTAGGAGTTAATTAACACATGCATGAGTCAGCCATGCCTGCTATAGATTTCAATCCAACATCATATCATATCATAGTAATGTCCTACTCTCCTGCTCGCTGATGTTTCCTTCTTGCTAGAACACTGAGTCCTACATGGCTATCCACCCTGATGATGTGGATATTTTAATTCTAGGCTTTTATGGAGGTGAGCAGCAAGGCATTCTCCCCCACTGATATCTTATTTCCAGCAGCTTGATAGCAGACAGACAGCAGCATCTTTGTCTGTGTGTAAATTGGTGAGGAAATGAGAAGTGCCCCCACCTCTCACACTGCTGTCACTGCTATTCTATTATATCTTCCCAGCAGAGGCTGAGCACAGACCACAGTCACTCTAGGAGTCCACAACCGACTCAAAAAGAGAAGTACCCAGAACCACACATATATATGGTTTCTATGACTTGATAGCATTGCCACATGGATCAACTATGTTGTTGTTGTAACAAAATAGCAGTCATTTTTTATAGAATTATTATAAGATAGAATGATCAAAATCCCAACTGATGACCAAAAGATCACACAATGATCTGACGTATGAGTTCCACCAATGAGAATTCATTCAAGTTATAGATCAGTAGTGCTGTATTGTATATAAACATGCAGGGGGGAAAAAAGTGAAAATATTTCATTAAACTTCATTTTACATTGCTTCAGTTCTTTATATTTTGTGAAAGTCAGAGTTATTTCTTCCATGCTTTAATGATTGTAGATTGTATTTTTGATACAATACATTACTTAAGAAAAAATATAGAATATGCAGAATAAGGTAGCAGTTTATTGATGTTCAAAAGTAAAGTATTTGCAATGAATGGATAAAATAAACCCCATAAGGTCTATAGTTGTCTATAGTGCACCAGGAGAATATCTGATCGATTTCAAGTAATGTGTGAAAATATGAATAATATTTTAAATAAATAAATAAATTACTTAATTAATTAAATTCCTTTTTTAACATATCTATCACAGATCACACTTTACTTAATGTGTACTGACTTACCTTCATGGAGGTTTTCATCTCAGTTATATTTGTCACAAAAGTCAAAAAACTGAATGCCAATCACACACACACACACACACACACACAACCTCAAGAAGACTGATTGGATCAGTCACATCATGATATTTTAATTTGAAACCATGTACAAATGTAGCTTCAGTTCCAACTAAAATTTAGCTCTAAACTAAATGAAAAGACTGTAGAACCTTTTTCTATTTTTGATCCTTAAATACGTTCGCTATTTATAAAACTTTATTTCTGGGTTACAATAATGTTTATGTTGGTAATTTCCCAGTAAGGAGTGTTGTTGTTTTTTCTTTTCACTTTTACTCAAATATGACTGCTGGCCACTTGGATACATTGCTGCTATAATTATCAACCATTTTAATGACCCAGTTTGTATTTTGTGTTTTCATTCGTAACTTATTTCTATCCTTTCTAGAAGTTTCCATTTTCTTTGCTAGAAAGGTGTGCGCAGAAGCTGTTCTATACGATCTGCAGTATTTGGGCTGAGGTCAGCTACAGGCAGTCTTACGTGTCCAGTTTTTCTCCAGTGTGTGTGGTTTGGAGAGCAGTTCCAAGCCCTACTGCAGATACCCGTCGTCATAATTGCCAGTCTCTTGTCAGGCCTTCTGTGTGTTAATGTGCTCGCATGTAAACATGTGGGCAAATATTACAGCTCCCAGGGCACTTGGCCTTCTCCAGGACTCCTGAGTCCTGTGCCAGCCTGTGACTGGATGAACTTATTGATTGGTTGGCTAAAGGGTTGAGAGAAGCCAGGGGGCTCCATCTTGTGGTTGAGGAGGTGTCTGCAATCTATACACATCTCTCTCTCTCTCTCTCTCTCTCTCTCGCTCTCTCCATCTCTTCTTTTCCCCTTCTCTTCTTTAAGTCTGTGAGTGATTCCTTTCTAGCATCTTTGATCTAGTGCTTTTGTTTAAAAAAAAGTAGAAGAAGCAAATATAAAACTTGAAACCTGCTGCACCAAACAGGAACTACATTTTGTTTTCTCATGTTAAGCCTTAAGGGTAATGAGGGGTGACCGTACTAGCTTGAAATGACCCAAATGATCCAACATTGAACCTGAAAGAGAAATAAGTAGCCTGGAAAAGCTTACAGTAACGACACATGCCTTTTCTTCCACGTTAGAGACTGAGGTAATTATTGCTAAATGGAAACCCTTGTGTTTGTCTTTCTCTGTTATGAGTCGGTGTTTGGGTGGCCATTGTTGGAAAGGAGAAGGGGGATTTTTCAAACGTGATAAAAGGACTGCAGACTGATTGGGGTCCCATGGGTTTTGGCCCTGAGCTCTTGTTCTGACTTGTTTTTTACTCTTTTCCTTTCTTTGGATGCAGTTACTGTTTTCTGAGGTCAGGTTACATGTTAATTACATTTCTGTGTTTTGCCTTCATACATTCATATGTAATTACAGTGGTAGAAAAACTCTAGTCTTTTTTGATCTGGGGCCTTTTAGATCATGGATGGTTCTCTTGACTGCCTTCAAAAACCTTTCTAAATATTTTGACCGCCATATGATCCTTCATTCATTCATTCATTCATTCATTCATTCAATCTTCAGTGATGACTTGATTCTAGTCAGGGTCACAGTGGATCTGGATCCTATTCCAACCTGGTAGGGCACCAGAACATGACAGGGTGCCATGTACAAACATTCGCTCACTCATTCACCCGTAGTAGATAACGCATGTTTTTTGGAGATGGGAGGAAACTGACATGGACACAGCGATAAGAATGAAACACGGTATCCTGAGCTGAGGATCAAACCAGGGACTGGAATCAATGCCACCTGCTGTACCACTTCAGCTCTCATACATTTTTGTTATTAGATGTAGGTGTTTCTACACATGATCTATTAAATAGTTCTCTACTATACAAGAACACGCTATATGTGCTAACATGGAATGCTCTGAAATGGGAAGATGGTCCATCAAATTGCAGCTCTGATGGTGATGAGAACACGTCACTTCTACTAAGGACTCAATATGGCTCATCTGAGTAAATGAAATGTTAAAAAACAATAACAATATTTTGGCTATGTCCGTAGTAGAATGAGTGTTTCCCATCATCTGCAGCAGTGTATTTTGATGCAATTTAGGAGTTTTGGGGTTTGAGCACCACAGCTAACAATAGACCAGAGATGGCAACTACAAAGAGTCAGATTGGTCAAGTTTTTAAGCAGATAACCAGCAGAATCTACATGTAGTTAGACTCACTCCCCGTCTCACAGGTGGATGATTAGTTCTAAGTGCAATGGCAAGGTGCAGAAATCGAATTGTATGCTGATTGTATTCAGCACTGGTTTGCATTGATAGGATGCAGGGTGCTGCTTTAGGCAGGGCTGCTCCTCTTCAACACAAAGCCTGCTTTGGCTCTTATTTAATTAGCCTGACGCTAACCATTTACTGAGCATAACTAGATTACTCTCATTATAAAGAGATTAGACTTATTTGCCAACCAAGCAGCAAACCAAAGCACCCTCTGTCTTTTCAGTTTCCAGCATGCCACATTCTGCGAATGTGTTTACAGAATGTGCTTTCTGCAGATGCTTCATCATATTAGATAGAGCTGTTGGAAATGGGCCATGATATGTGTTATTGGGTGGAGCTTTGGTTGCGGTTAGGTGTTGTTGGTTTTTTTTTTCACCTCTCTTTGTCGTGATCTGCCTGGATCAAGGAACTCCAGGCTTGTTGTTTTTTTTTTTCTTTCCACTTCAAAGATGACACACAGAGCGAGGCAGAGGGACAGCAGGAGGTCAGAGGGAACAGAGATGATGTGACCAGGCCATGGCTATTTGGAATATACAACCAAAAATGTCACTCGCATACATACCAGACACTGCACCAAATTTATCATTGAAGAGGACAAAGAGGACAGTGGTGTATTGTTTCTAACTGTCTGTTCATTCACCTGCCTTTCTCCTTGCTGTTCGTAAACTGGGTTTCCATGAAACACAGAAAAATGCCTCTCTGTAAAGAATGCTCACATTTGACCTTGATTTCTAGATTCATTTGACAATTTATAAATTTTTTTTAAAGATTATGCACAAAAGAATACTACATGTGTACAATTAGTAAGAGTTTTGCTATGTTTTCTTGCACGGAGGAAAGAACAGAAAACTCAGGAACTCACCTTCTGAGCACATCTGTTGGCAGATCTATATTTTCAAACATCAACATGTCAGGGCTACTCAACTGATTTTTTTAATTTACATGCAAGTTCCATATAATCAACAGGATTGGAAAAAACAGTAACCTTTTACTGCTTAACTTTTTGAGCTTATGTATTAAAATATTGTAAATAAGAGACTTTGAAGTGGTCACATTTTTCACCCTGGCTCTTCACGTTAGCACTTTTGACAAGGGGCATGAAGCCATCTGTTTTGGACTTCATGTGGAGAATAAATGTGTACTTTTTCACCGTATATTGGATCTGTGACAGTATTTTATTTTATTTTATTTTTTAAAGTACTCAGTTCAAGCTGCTGGTATGCTTTGCTAGATCCACCACTGATCTATATGAAATGTGTATTTTTGTTGTATGTTTTTATGAAGTAGATCTGATGGTCTGTGAATACCACAAAGCCTGAGGCAAAATGGAAGTAACCCAAATTACGGGTTACTATATTGCTCCAATGTTGGAAAGTTTAAACATTTAGTGATAGACTTCAGGGGGCGTGGTGGTTTATTGGTTAGCACACTTGCCTCTGACCGCTGGGGTTGGGGGTTTGATTCCCACTTCCTCCATGTGTGCATGGAGCTTGCATTTTCTCCTTGTGCTCCAGGGGTTTCCTCCGGGTACTGTGATTTCCTCCAAAGACATGCATTGTAGGCTGATGGGCATTTCAAGCTTTTACGTAGTGTGTGAATGTGTGTGCGATTGTGCACAGTGATGGGTTGGCACCCTGTATTGTCCCCAAGTCCCCTGGGACCAGCCTCCCCCGACCCTGTGTAGGATAAGCGGAAAATGGCAGGATGGAATTTAGCAAATGTCCGTATATTTCTATTATAAGTGAGTTTCTATTAAACATGATTTCTGTTCTGTTTTCAGGTTCTTATTCTTAGGTTGAAAAAGTGCTGTTTTTATGTGGAATTTTTCTTTATGTTTATATTATAAAGAACCTTTAATAATTCCTGTGTAAGACATTATTTTATTATTATTATTGTTTTAGATATTTACTGCATGTATGTGTTATTCTTTGCATTAAAACAGGATGTATGGCAGATCCTCCTAATTTAACAGCAGTCTCTCGGAAATTCTATCTGCCAGACATTGTGCCATTTTTGACAGGATTTTTGGGAAACATTTGAACTATAAGCCTTATGCTGTGCATTCTGCATTTTCCATTAATTGAAAAGGCAGTGTGTCAGTCTGTCTGTCTCGGTGTCTGATGCAACACACACACACACAACAACACACACACACCACACAAAATAACACACATTCTGACCACCACACTACCACCTGCACCTGTACAACCAGCTCCCAGTTAATTGGACCGAATTGCTCCTGGTCTCCGTGGCAACTGCGACCTGCCACGAGATGAATTGAAACTGTGCAGATACGCACACCACCTCCCATTACACCCCCACAACCACTACCTCCCCCCAGCCAATCTCTTAATCTCTTCAGTATTATTTATGGCTGCGCCACTGAGTGGCCCAGATGTGAGCAGAGCGAGATGGAGACTGAAGAGAGGAGTCAGCTGTTTCAGGCCAGCAATATGCTCCTCTTAAAAGCTCCTCAATCCTATTGTGTGATTAGCAGGCTTATCCCTTTTGCTTATTTTCCCCACTTTTTTGTGCAATGTGAGTTTGCTTTGAACAAGACTGATACAGGTAGTTTTTATTGATTTATTTTTTTTAAGCGGTCCAGTCTGAACTTCAATCTGGCATATAAGGCATCAGGGCCGTCTGTATGTGGTCTTGTCATCTCTTATAACTGACATTTTATTACGTCTCTAAATGTCTCTAAAAGCCTGCTCTGTCGCTCAGGCCCCATCCAGGGGGAAGACACAGTGGAAGAAAAGAGAATTAAACCAAATGGCACAAGACGAATAAAAGTGAATTAGTGAATAACAAATTGCCCTCCTTGCCCAGTCTCTCTAACTATTCCTCCTTCCTTTTTCTGCATCCAACTTGTTCGACATCTTTGGGCCAAGAGCCAAAAAGGCTTTTATAACCATAAAGGCTATGGATCAGGATAAATCACATTAAACTGTCTAATTTAATTAAGGTATTGACAAAACATAATAGATACTTACATGGGTTTAGGGGTTGTGGGGAGGGGAGGGTAGGGGAGCCTAGCGGACGGGGGCGATTTCCATTTCTAATTTCCATACACGGAGCTATCTTAGGAGTGGCACAGGAATGTTGAAGCGCAAGTGGCGAGCTTTAGGCACCCAAGGGAGCATTTTAGCCCATTTACAATGATTTAGAAGCTGCTCTCTTTTTCATGCCCTCTACTACCAGCATTAGGGGAAAAAAAAGTGCAGCGAATGACTGTCACAGTTTAGCCTGCGTCAGCGGGCTGAGGATGATCAATATGGGAATATTTTTATTCATAAAGCTCTGAGTTAATTAAATCAAGAAGTCTTTGAGTTGGATGTAAGACAGTAAGCAAGGGCAGAAAGTTAAATGGCTGGAGTAGAATACAATTCCACATGCTTCCAAACTCTGATCGGTACATTGGAAAAACTAATATACATATATGTTGTGCTTTCTCTCTTTCCATTCTCTTAAGTTCCTTGGCTCCATACATGCCTCTGTGTTACTCAAATCTCAATGCCATTTCTTTCTCTGGAAGGTTTAAGATTAAGGTTAGTGTAGCTGCTCTCCCTAGATTTCCCCTGTGACTTCATTTAAGCCCTTATTTGCCTTTGGCCTTCTACACGTCCAACAAGTATTAACCTACACTTTTTGGTACTGCTGTATCGTTTAAATTGAACCAACCAGAACCACAGCAGTAGGAACCTCCAGCTAACGGGATGAAACGCGATGATGTCCTGCTGCACCTCTCTCTTCATGAAGAATGCGCAGGTTCACATCCAAAGTCAGCGTGTGGTTCCCTGCCACTTGCCAAACTCCAGTATTTGTCTCTTTGTTTTAGAAATAAGTTTCAGCACAGAAACCACAGTCGTAATTCAAATGAATGGAACAGAAATGTCCGTTTTTGGGTTGTTTTTTTTTTTACAAAGAACGGGCGGATTATGCAGGCCTGTGCCTCATGGAGAATAAGAGGCAGAGGTCAGTCTTGGTTCCTCACACTGAAAGCAACATTTGGCCTCTGCCTTCCCGCTATTTATTATACTGTCTATTGAAAACATGCCTCTATTCTCTGGTTTAATTAAGAGCTACTGTCATGCTGAAAGCCAATTACAGTTGAGAGTCTTTCAGAGCCAGGAATCCATAGTGTTTTAATTTGTGTCCATTTTTTTTTTTCAAACTGGCCATAAACCAAAATGGAGACCGCTGATAACTGCAGAAGAATCCTAGCGTACTGCTCACCGCCCATCACAGCCATAACCACAGCCATAAAAAGCTGAAATATGAGTCGGGGTCTGTATTTATTATGCACTGTTCTATGTATCTTTATAGAGTAAATGTTAAATGAATTGCAGCTCTAGGAGTGCTGGGAGTGGCCTAGCGCTATCACAGGAGAAAAAGATGAATATTGACAGAGAGAGAGAGAGAGAGAGCACTCAGCATGCAGAGAGGCAACAGCAGCTGGAATGAGAATACGCACCAAGAGATTGCACCAGGGAGAGTCGTCCATTCAAGACGTCTTTGGTTTCATAAAACAAAATGCTTATGGAGCCCTCGGGGGTCCTCTTCTTCCCCTGTGGTTCTGTCTGTGTCTTTTTTAATGAAAGAAATCAAAAATGTGCATCTCATAACCCCCAATGCCCCAAGTGTGTGTGTGTGTGTGTGTGTGTGTGTGTGTGTGTGTGTGTATGTATTCATACAGAGTAGTGCCTGACCCTGTGAGGCCACTGTCTTAACCCTATCATCTCTCGGACGCATCGCCAGCGCCTGATTCCCCAGGACACCCTGATGAAAAACAAATACGTGTGTGGCAGTGCAGCCTGAACCCCACGGTGCTCTGTTTGTCTCTCGGATTTTCTGGAATCTTAACGCTTTGAATTTTGGCCTCTAAAACACACACACACGTGTCAAATCACACAAGAGTTCTCAGTTTATGCTCTGAAGAGCGAGATGTCCTTCCCTGAAGCTGGAAAACGCTGGTCGCTGGTGAGATGGAATATAAAGGCGGTGTGATTGGTCACAGTTATGAGTGCCTGAGATGGAATGAATAATGCAGGGTTTCTGACAGGAATGGCCATCGGCTACTGGTCACCTTTCACCCGTGTGTGTGTGTGTGTGTATGTGTGTGTGTGTGTGTGTTTGAGATAGATAGATAGATAGATAGATAGATAGATAGATAGATAGATAGATAGATAGATAGATAGATAGATAGATAGATAGATAGATAGATAGATAGATAGATAGATAGATAGATAGATTTGATGTGATGTACAGCTGTGGGAAGTGTATATAAATACAGAGCATGGAGCTCATAGTAAGTACATCAGAGTAGCAGAAACTGTAGTTGGGTGAAATGTAAAGAATAAAACATAACAGAGCACAATTATATGTTTTATAAATTTTATGTACATCTAATATTGTTGATCATAGTTCCTGTTATCACATATGAGGTAATGCATTATTATTTGTTAAATAACACCCTGTTTATGCGTAATGCATTTATTATCAGCCGTACATTATGTGGCGCGTACACCGTACGAGTCGCTGTGATTGAGTTGTTACTATAGAAATGAAAACATAATTATTTACATGAATTCATATAAAACCTGTCATTTGAATCCAATTTGAATTGACGCAATACTGTCAAACCTGCTGTTATAGAAAGTTAATCAACATCTTCCAATCAGACCAATCAGATTTTTGGCATGAAGCAGTGCTGTGATATAATGCAAAAATATCATAGTGTGATATTTAATTTGACAAAATGTCTGCCAAAACAGCAGTGACATTTACAGATCTGTTCAAAACAGTTTCAGTGCTCAAAATATATATATTATTAATACCACTATTAAAATGAGTCAAATGCAGATTTTTGGGTCTAATCAATATTTCTGATAAACTCATTTAACTGATATATTGATATCATATACCCCAGCTCTAATTGGTATCGGTGCATGTAAATGAGTGTATAACTGTAGGAAGCAGGGTGTAATAACAATAATAATAATAATGATAGTTATAATACATCCATCCATATTTTATACCACTTATCCTACACAGGTTCGCAGGGAGCTTGGAGCCTATCCCAGGAAACCCGCGGCATAAGGCAGGGGACACCCTGGACAGAGTGCCAAAATATCACAGGGCACAATTGCGCACACACTCATACACTTTGGGCAATTTGGAAATGCCTGTCAGTCTACAATGCATGTCTTTGGACTGGGGAGGAAACTGGGAGAACATGCAACATGCAGGAGTCGAAGCCCCAACCCTGGAGGTGCAAAGCAAACATGCTAACCACATTTTTATTCACGTTAATTATTATTATTATTATTATTATTATTATTATTATTATTATTATTATTATACCAATTTTTTATACATTTATAATGCAGCACAAATTGCTTTATAGTCATAGTCTTTATAGTGACATAAACAGGAATAAAGAAACAAAAGTTAGAAATAACAGTGTAAAATAAGCA